GAACTTGTGAGAGTTAGAGCTCCAGGGGAAGAGGACACCTGGCCATCACCAGGGGCTCTGGGGGTGGCATTGACTGTTGAACCTCCCTGAGCTGGGCCCCAAACAGCGCAGCTTGACCATGTGTTACTCTACAAAAATTCTTCATCATACATCCTTCCAAAACACTGCAAGGAGCACTCGAAGTCAAGGGATGCCATGGGATGTGACCTAAGCCTTAAATGGCCATCGATCCCCCAGTGCAGTGGGACACTGGACAGAGAGAACAGGGGAACTGGCTGCTTACGCGGGTGAGCAAGGACTTCAGGCAAATCCTTTGACACCTCAGAACCTCGCCTTTCATCTCCTCGTCTCTAAAAGGGAAATAGTACTGCAAAAGGTTTCTAGAAAAATGCCATTATCTTTTCGTTCTGTTTCCCCACAACCTTTGGAAGCTGCCTGTACCTCACTTCCCTCCTGAATAAACCAGACACCAGAGCCACTGTCATGCAGTCGATTTGACTCAAGAGTTCCCAAGACTGTGATCCTCTACAGCAGCAGACAGCCCATCGTTCTCAACTGGTGGGTTTGAACTGCGGACCTTGAGCCACTGACAAGTAGTCCTCTGCTTATCCCACTACACTGCTATCCCTTCTTGAATAGAGAGCAGCTCAGCCAACCGACATAATAGCAGTTCACTTTTATAGTGAAAGGCATAAAGCCCTCTCTCCCTCTTTACTGCTGGTAGTTCATTTTTCCAACCTTAGTGACGTCCAGTGTTTTTATAAGGATCGGCAGAGCCTAAGAATGTTCTAGGAAGAGATCTCAAAGACCATGGAGTCCAGCCCATCCATTGCTGATGAAATTGAGTGTCTTGCCCAGGGTCACCCAGCTAACATCAAGTTAGGCCTAGATGCATAAATCTACATACTTAACGGAAGAACTGACGGGAAAGTAAAAAGAGGCTTTGTTTTTAAATGCAAATCTTTTCCTTAGTGGGTGACCACAAGGTCAGCTGTTCAAACCCACCAACCACTCAGGGGGCAAAGGTGAGGTTATCTGCTCTCTAAAGATTCATTGTTGGAGAGGAAACCCTCTGGGGTCACGAAGAGTCAGAATCAACTCAGTGGCAGTGAGTCCGTTTGGTTTTGGGGTCCCCGCAGAAAATCATCCTTTTCCTCTACAGAAGGACTTATTGTCAAGGCTCTTCTGTTTTGGGTGAGGGTAGGGGCGGGGTGTTCTTGTAATAACAGGAATGGCAGTAAAGCCCCAAACCATGGCTGCTTTGTGCTAGGTATAGCAGAGAGCACCTCCTGCAGCTACGCTCGGGGCCCGAGAGAGCTGGAGCAGCTGATCTCAGGCCTTCACACCCAGAACCCGCATGCCGGCTGTTAAAGCAGATGACGCTGGAAAGGTCCAGGGCAGGGAGCCCGTGCCAGGACTGAAAAATCAAACAAACACGACAGCACGGTGATCTTTTTGGACCACTAAATGTAGCATTTGCCACTTTCATAACGCAGTGCACCAAGCTTCCCACAGGCACAAAGTGAAGCACTTATAGAAAGCCAGCTTGGTGAGAGGCCAGTATCGGTCAGATGGGTTCTCTGTTGTTGATAATAAATCACACTGAAGACTCTCATTGTCTTGTGGGAAGGGTGAAGAAGACAGCACGGACAAGCCCATCCAGCAACGTTGTAGTTTTAAGCGCAGCTGAGAACACACTGACCCTGCCACTCTCTCCCAGATGATTTAGGGTGCTTTGAAAGAGCCCCATTTCTTCTCTCCCGGAGCTGAACAGCTGGCAGCGGTCCTGATAAGGGACCTGGGCAGCGGTGCAGGCTGGGCTGGTGGCGCCTTTCAAGTGACCCCTGACCG